CTCTGCATGGTCGTAATGGCCATCTTGATAAGACATTGTACATATGTAATGTAATGTCAGGGTTTCCCGCAGCGCTTTATAGTTAAGGCGGCCGCCTTGACAACAACGGCCCCCTGCCTTGACTACGTCCCCTCGAAAATAAATAAATATTCCACATCCCTGCATGCATAGACAGTAGGTTAAAATAAGGGCGCATCGCAATGAGGCGGAATAGCGGCAGTACATAGTGATCAAAACATGACAACGTGTGGTTCCCTTATATGATCCTGAAGGATTGTTGTGAGCATGCTCCTGTTCAATTGTATCAAAAATAAAAACCATAATATTTAGAGCATTCATTCTTTATGCTGCAAAGATTCAAGGTATCTGTCTTCTACCTGATCACTTTGTAAGCTTGTGACAATGCCATACATTTTTGGTACAAGCAGTGAAAAAGGTGTTAACATTCAGTGCTGCCAGAGGAGGGGGAAGAAAAATGGGCATATCTCAAAAACTTTTAACGATAACTACAAAGTTGGAAATCACTTTTTTTTTTTTATCATTTATTGACTTATATAAACTTTTGAAGTTATACAGACTTTAGTGATTTGAAGTATTTCAGGATACCTCAAGAAATGACATCACCAATGTATGCACTGTCAGACATTTTCTAGTTCAAAGGGTTAAGAAATGTGAATAAGGATTCACAATTCAGTGTTTTAGCCCACCAAAGTCTAGTTTATATTACATCAGTTACATCAGTCACAAATCCTAACATGAGCAATATTATAATGAACCAAAAACATTTTTACACTCCTGATTATAACAGAAGAGATCTCTAACTTGGTGTTTTGCTTCATTGCTGCATCATATAGCTGTGTGCAGCACTTGTTGCCAAGTGCTCACTCGCATTATCATCCAAAAAGTCTGTCACTTGGAATCTGTGGCTGGTGAACAAACCTGCCTAGTTATTTAATTCAGAAACAAACGTCAACTCTTTTTTCGGGCAGTTTACTATGTCGCAATATTGTTATTGGGGCATAAAGTAACATATCTATGATAGAGAATTCCACGTTGCCCGCGCTTAGTGCACAGATCATGTTATGAACACTGTGGAGGACATTTTCTGACCAAATTGTGTCTACTACAGCAGTTCTTCTGGCTGGAAGAATTGCATCTGGGGTATAACCATAGGTGCTCTACAGAATAATACTGATAAAGGCTTTAGTGTCCTCTGTCATGTCGTGTAACAGAGAAAGTTTGGACTGTGTTATTTGCTCTAAATTCTCATGGCTGAGGTTGTAGGAGCAGACAACCAGAGGGCAAGGAGATCTGTGAAGCAGAAATACAGCCTTTGTCATATTATTTACCTTGATGAAATCACGCTTGAGTATGCCTCTGCGTGGTTTTGAGACAGAGAGGGGATGATGTACGTTAGAGAACTGTGTGCGAGTGTGACTGAGGGAGGGAGTGAAATTTTTACACAGTACATTAGGCCTGTTACCTAACGCTTGCCATCCTGCCTGCCCTCTTCCTCCTGCTCATCCTTTTCTTGCCTGAAAAACACACTCGAGAGGAAAGGGGAGACGACAGGAAAACAACAGGGGGAAAAAACTTTTCCGCACAGAGGCAGATCAGAACACGCAGCACAGTGCCATCTTTTACCGATCATTCTCACCTTGCTGTGGGCACAAAAAGACAGAGGGCTCTTTAAAAGTGAATCTTTACTTGATAGTTAGTCAGCTGCTAGTGATTACTACCGTGGACACAATCAGTAAATTATGTGCCAGAGGATGAATGATGATCCAATTATTATTATTTTTAGTTTCAACAAATAAATGCTTGACTATTTATCAGTAGACTAGTGAAAACATATTGCTGCCCTGCAGAATGTATTAGAGGTTTATTCAAAAAGGAGACATCTGCAAGACTACACAATATACTTGAAATATAATTTCACATTAAGTGCAGTTTAACAAAAAAGTGACTCTTTCAAAAAGTCGGATATCTTATCGAGATTTTCATAAAATTTTAAAATATAATAAGAAATGAAAAAAAGATGTATGTGTTGACAGCTCCAACTTAAATTCAGCGATCCCTCAATGTTTGTCAACAATTTGGCTATTGGTTGCTACTGCAATAATTGAAAATAATCATAAAAAAGCAAAAGCATTGAATGTTTGAATTCTTCCCAAATTCATACAATAATTGGTAAAAGAGGAACACCTAAATGGAGTGGTTTTGAGCCTGACATAGCAAATTATTGCCACACTCTTTCTAGCACAGCATGTGTGTGAGAATACAAAGTTTTGTTTTCTGTTTTGACTTCCACTCCACTAGTTGACCTTTGTGTGGAGAAGATGAACTTTCATTATAACAGGTGCAGCACACTGGCTATCTGCAACAGAAGATTTGTTGTGTGACTGCCTCTATGTTAATAAGAATATACACCAGCAGCCCTGGTCAAAAAGTATTGGGAAAATACAAGCTTGAAATGGTTGTGAGTGTTGGGGAAATACATTTAAAACTAAATGTCTTCTTTAGGTTATACAATCCAACAGAACATAATGGCACTGGTCCTTTCTGGGCTTCTAAGGCTATTAAAAGTAAATAACCAGGTTGTCTTTGGTCTGAATGCGCTGCAGGGTATCATCCATCTCCTTCTCAGAACTGATGAAGGTGTTAAGGTATTTTTGTCAAGTCAGCTTTTCTCATTGGATTGTTATGAAACCTAGGCAATAAAACAAGGCTCCAAAGTGCATTTCATCCGATGACTGGTAACTGTATCCATATTCATGACATCCACAGGCATGCAAAAGCAACTGGTGATGCCGCCGAAACCCCTGCACTAGATGATGAAAGTCATGAGCTGACTGTCTGTATGAGACCACCATCAATAGACAACAGACAAGGCTTCTCTTTCATTCTGTAATTCCAAATTTGACTGTAATTTTGTCCTATGTCTCTCACTCTCAGTGAAACAGTCTCACACACACACACACACACACACACAAGTATTAACAGACAAACACACAACAAGAGCTACAGCTTCATAACCAGCTCATTAATCTGTCACTATCATGTTGCATCTGTCCATTTATTTATTGCTCCTAAAAAAAGATAAAACAAACCACAATCATACCCATTAGTATTTATACATGAAGAGAAATTTCATCTGCAAATCTATTCCACAGCAGTCACTGAAGCCATTTGTTTTGTCCTCCTGAAACTGAATGGAAGCTTCCCTGGGTTCTGTTGCTCAAAGCAGACAATGACCCATGTCTGCCTGTCTGTGTGTATGTCAACAAGGGCACAGAGGAAAAGCTGCACACTCAGCTGCCTTGACACACCTTTATTAGTGCCACTGGAATTAAAGGATCTTCACCAGGTAATAAAACAAAATTATTGCAGCAGTTGTCAGTGAGTTAAGACTTCAGCAACCACTACAGGTGTGTTCCACCAATTCAACCAACATAAGTGATGCGCACAATCAAAAGAGCCATGCTTCTAATGTCACAATAGTTAGTGTGGTCCTCAACAGAAGCCTTTTCTAACAAACTGGAAAGCAAAGCACCTACTTGCAGATATAGTCAAGCTGTTGTTGTCAAGTGCTCCAAGTGAGGCTTTTAGAGTAGTTCTTTATTTTAGTCCCTTTTGGGCTTACGCTACCATTCTTGTTAAGAAGGCATAAACAACATATTTGGAGTCACAACCGACTGCGTGAAATCAAATAAAGCCTTGAAACAGTGAGGCTCTTGATCCAATAGATCACCACAAAATAAAAACACATCATAGCATATTAGAGAAATCCATTCCTCTTGAAATGCCCCAAACTTTACGTGCCATCGAGGTGCAAACCTTCCGCTTGCAAAAACCACTAAAAGGCCTTTTTAGAAAAGGCTGGGAAGCGTCACAATCAGATTATAGAGCATACAAGTGAAATATGGCAGACCCCAATACAACGCATATATTATAAGTTTTGCACTAATATATAGAGTGAATGCTTCTTCAGGATTTTCTTCCTGTTTCTTTATTATTGTTTCTCTTCTTTGAATAGCACTAATGTTATTTGTTACTAACTGTCTACTAGTAAATGTGTCATATCATACTAGTGCACTGGTGACTAGCTCCCAAATCTCTGTGAAAGCATCTTCTCACACTAAAAACGTGTTGTAGCATTTCTGAAACCACTACGTTTGCAATGTCACTGTTTTCTTGTCCGGCTCCGTGTGACTGACCATCTGCCCATTAACCGAGATATCTGAGCACCACAACCAGCTGGTACACGACGCTGAAATAAAGCTCTGTCACCTTGTTAAAAAACATGTACTTCATTTTAGAAAGACGTCAGAAACGTTCATGACACACCGTGATTAAAAAAAAAAAGACACGCTCGGTGTTTATTCCAATTCAGTCTGTGTCACTTCAGTTAGCGTCGAATTCAGAGGCTAAATCCGTTTTAGACTGAATTTCACAGATAGTTTAACACTTGGGAAACCTACACATGCTAACACTGGAGGTGCATTGCTACTACATGTTGAGTGACCCAGCAGGGCTCTGCAAACTTTTAACCTTGAGGCTTGGTTTGCGTCTGATAGATTCCTGACTCCAACCAAATAGCTAATTAGCTACGAAGCTAAGCTAGCGACTCCGGTCGGAACGTTGAGAGTCTCCCCCTTTTCATCTTCGTCGATACCCTTCTCTCCGTCCTCTGCCACACATTCACCCGGGCCTCTCTAGCTTCCCCCCTTCGAACACTACGAGTTCGTGTGTGTGTGTGGAACCATCTTGTGGTAAATGTGTTTGTCTCCTGTAGTTAGAAGTGATGCCCCGTGTCGAACGGACCCCCCACCCCCTCCCTCCAACACCAAGCAGCGGTGTCACCAAAGCGGGCTGGCCGTTGTCTCCCCGGAGCCTAAAGGCCCCAGCGTCATCCTGACTAAATGATCGAATAGGTTTGAAATAAAACAATGACAACTTCTACTTGTTCACCTCTAACGCTCGCCCATGAGCCGTCTTACCTTCGCTTTGGTAATGATGTGTGTGGCGAGCTTAACAACCGCGAAATTCCCCTTGCCGATGGTCCGCTCGATTTCATAGTGGCCCACTCGGGCTGGGGGGAGCCTGGTGGCCGAAGAGTGGCCAGGATTGGTGATGCACCCGGGGGCCGTGCTGGTACGACTGGAGTGGCTGATCCCGGAGGATGGCTGGGCCCGGTTCTGGGAGCCCATGACTGCGTGGGTCGGTCGGGCAGAGTGCGTAATCCCGGCCGCAGCGGACCCCGCAGCACCTCCGCTTGACACGGCCGCCATCTTCTCGCCTCTCTGCGGGAACAACAAGCAGCCTTGCGCAGCGCGCATCTCGGGCACGCCCCCGCCCTGCGTCATTTTACGTGGAACGCTCCTCCGCAGCGCCCTCTCCAGGTTGTAACCACGGCAACGATCGGCGTAACAAATGACTTCATCCACAGAAACGTATTGTGGTTGCCTTGACGACAGAGAAGTGCGCATTATCGCTGTGGTTCCCATGATTCAGTGATTCCTGCTGCACCGTGTGATCACTCAGGGTTTAGAGATACACACACACAGCAAACACCACTATGACAGATTCAAATGATCGAGCTGAGCAGAAGTTTCAACCCGTCGTCGAATGCACTGTCTGCCATTTTTAATGTTTACCCAGTTGTGAGTGGTTGAGTCCACAAGGCCACAGTGGGGTCCAGGCACATCTGTATTAATACCGTTTCTGAACACCAGTTTTTTTCTGTTATCATATTCACATTAAATAAAAGTTTGTTCTGTTTTCAAAATCCTTTCGCCTGGTTGCTGCTGTGGTATATCACTGCATGTTGTCAAATGGTCATTTGGTGTGCTGAGAAATGTTACACTAGTCTGCCTGAGAGGATCACCTCGAGACTGACTCTGTTTCCACAGTAAATTAATTATCTTCATGCACACACACAACATTCGCAATATTGTTTATTTCTTTCTTTCTTTTTTCATTTTCCTCGAAGCGATTTTATAGGTCACTAACTACTCCAGTATTCTTTGTGCAATTTCAAGTATCACTCATTCAAGGCATTTCTGCTATTATTTTCTTTTTCAACTACTTTTTCAAATTAATTTTTCATAGATTTCATTTTTTGTCTGTCTGTCTATCTATCTATAAATCTATCTCTGCATTTTCATGTGTTTTCATTATGAAATGCACTTTCAAATTAATTTGCTAAATCAATGTTTTAGTTTTTTTATTTAATAATTGAGAGGGTGTAACTTTGCAAATGAACCCTGCTGGAAAACCAAAGCAAATGTCATATTCTGAAGTTATCATGTAAAAATGTCAAATAACAGCATTCCATACCACACAACATTTTTTCTGTTCTGCAGAAATGCTATGGGCTATGCCTGGTTTCTAACTGGGCTCCATATGTGGGGAAAACTGATTCTATTCTTTTCTATTCTATTCTTGTCGATGGCCCATTCACCAGGATGTAAACAGCACCACTCCATGTTCAAAAGGCATTGCTGCACCCTGTTTCTTCAAGCTGAATTACCAACTAAGCACAGAAGACAGCTGCCCTGAGAAAGAAAAGGCTCTCAGTGTGTTTGATGGCATTTGTTTATTGCAAACTTTATTTCGTAAATGTGAAATAACACAATTGGGGGAAATGATAGCCTATGTGTCTACAGGCAGGTCCTACCTTTTTAATTGGGCCCAACAGCTCCGGTAGTCAATAATAATAAATGCCTGTGTCAAACATCTTACGAATAGATTTTCATCTAATATCTTCAGAGTTCAGTTTTATTAGTGAGTCATAGAAAAACACCAATGTGACCAATCTAAGTGCGTTTTTAATGTGGTTTGACCGGGTTTGAAACAAATCCATTTAGATAGATGGATGGATAGATATACTTTCATCTCACTGCAGTGTACTATGTTGACATTTTAATGTTGTTATGCTCTCAATTTCCCTCGGATCCATAAAGTATCTATCTATCTATCTATCTATCTATCTATCTATCTATCTATCTATCTATCCTTCAATTCATCTATCTATCCATCCTTCAATTCATCTATCTATCTATCTATCTATCTATCCATCCACCCATCTATATATCTACATATCTATCTATTTCTCTAAAAAGCTGTGCACACGAGGTCCAGCACACAAACATTAAAACGTGACAGTACACTGTAGAACAGTGGGAGGACTCAGTAATGACAAACAATAACAGGCAGGTTTACAACAGGTACTGCACCTGCAGAGGGCAGCCACATGACGTCATGACGTCGCGTTGGGTTTGTTTACTGTCTGAACGTGGTGGTGATGGGGGGGGGCGGGGGGGGGCGCTCGTCGCACTGATTGTCCCACACTGTAAACACTCTGCATGACTCTTGAACAAAGCCATGACGCCGTGACAGCTCTTCACTTTGACTCGAGAGAAGCAACAACGTCACGCTGCGTTCATTTCCTGGACCCCGAACTCGGATATAAAAAAAAACTAAACACGGAGCTGCATGAATTCAAGCGACGATGCTAACGTTAGCATGGCTAGCTAGCAGCCTGCTGGGCTCCGTCGTTGCAGAGCGAGATGAACTGGGTGTCGCCGTCATCGTTCAATCTTGAAACTTTCGTCATCTGTTGCATTGCTGACCGCTTGTTTTTGCGGGCGTGAACAACAGGGCGAGCACCGCGTCCGTGTTTAATGTGAGCTGCCTCCTGGGCTCGCCTGTTAGCATCCGCTTGTTTGTCTCGGGTGGAAGCGGAGCAGCTGAGCTAGCCAGCTTTTGCTATCCCGAGTAATTTTTTTTTTTGCTGAATGGGAAGGAGTTTTTAATAGTATCGCCGCACGTGCTCGACTAACGTGAGGGATCTATTCAGGAGGACGGTGTCGGACACAATGTTGTTGAGGAGCTGCTGGAAATCTCGACATAAAAACGGCTCTGGAGCTGCTGCTGCCCGCTGGATCCGACATGGACTGGCTGCCCTGCTCTGGGTGTGTGTGACCCACTTGGTCTGCGGCGGAGCGGCGGTGGGGGAAGCCACGAATGTGGTGCCGAAAGATGCAGAGTTTGATGTCGTCTACAACGACACGGTCACGAGTGAAAACCAGACCATCTACGCGTTCAACCACACCGTCTCCAGGAACAAGGTGAGTTCGGATTTTCACACCAGACGACCCTGTTTCTCGTGTAATGATGACGATGTAAGATTGATCCTTTCTCTCGGTTTCAGACGGAGGGAGTCCGCGTGTCCGTGGACGTGCTGTCACAGGGGCTGGAGAGTCCTATTCTGTTTGTGGTGAGGCAGAAACAAGCTGTGCTCTCCTTCCAAATCCCCCTCATCCTGAGAGGCCTGTAAGTCTGGTGCTCAGTGTCAGCACTCAACATTTAAAAGAAACTCATGTAGATTGTGTTTTTTGTTTTCTCACATGTTAATTTTCTGAACTTTTGATTATTGATTGATCTCTGTGTTTCTTTTGATGTATGTGTTTTTATTGATTTCGTTTGATCTTTTCATCTTTTGTTCCTCCAATCAAAGATGGCTTCTTCGTCCGTCTCATCTTTTCTTCCTCTACTTCTCCTCTTCCTCACCGTTACCGTGGAGTCGAGACCTTCACCTCAACAAGACGACAAACAGGTCTGTGGAGATCTTCAACACCTTCATCACCATCATCATCTTCATCACCATCATCATCATCATTAGCATCTTCATCGCATCATCATCTTCATCTTCATCACCATCACCATCATCTTCATCACCATCATCATCATCATCATCATCATNAGACCTTCAAAAGAGTAGTTGAGCATGTTGTTAAATTTGCCATTCATTTACAGTATGTGTCACAGCAGCTAGTAGCACAATTGTTTCTACATACCGCATGTGGTGAACATACATAAGTGACCCATGTTCTGTGGTTTATGTATGTCAACTTGAGAACAAGAAAACAAGGGGAACTCAATAGCTGTATGTGTAGCTTAGTCGTGTGTCATTATGTCAGAATGCCTAAACTGAGAAAAATCAATTATAAACAGACTCTAATTATTAACAGTGAATAGGCTTGTGTCCATCCAATTTAGTTGAATAGGCTTTTAATGTGTGTTTTACTGCACACAGTATCTTCACATAAAGGAATAATCTCCTTGGGTGTGTCTGCTTGTTGCTGCTGTTTTTGCTTCAACTGTAAATAATTACGACTTCAGGTCATGTGATGATTGTTTGGTTTGGTGTGTGTGGAATAAATAGCCCTACACGAGAAGATGTGTAAATGCCAGCTGTGCTCTTCTCACAGTGTGGTCGAGGGAGATGTCGCAAAGTGTAGCTTTGGTGAGAATTGCAATCATAGAATAGAATCAGCAAAATCACAGTCTATAAACTACCCTGGATTGTACATTTGCAGTTAAGCCCTGTAACTGTAACTGTACACAGCTCTGTAACTAGACTTGATCAGGTGGTATTTCACAACAGGCTAAAAGTTCAGCTGTTAATTAGCAATGAGCTACTAGCTTATCTGTGACTTGACCTGAGTCTCCCACACTCTGGGATATTCTCTGTGGTTGTGCAACATCAAAATGTCCATGCAGTCTTGTTTAGACAGTCTGTCGTGTCTCCAGATCTTTTTCATAAACCTTGGACTTTCACTTCCTTCCTGAGATCCTACCTATTTGAGGTCCCATAAGCTAATCTGAATGAGGTTACTTCTCTTTAACTTAGCCTTGGTCACATGCTTTCTTGAAATGAGAGTTGCTTTGTTTTGAGCAATACTGTGCTTTTCGCAACATTTTCTAGAGCAGGGTTTTTTTTATAGATTTTGCTCTGAGAGTATTGAAGATACACCATCTAGTTGGGTCATTTGGGTTTTCACAATACCAAACTTTTAGACTTCAGTATGATACAAGTATAAAAAATCAATACTCGATACAACAATGAAAAGAAAAAAGTTGTCTTTATTTCAGACTCATTGGTCCATATCAGTATTTGAAATAATTATATAAAAAAACTAAACTAAATTGCTGGTTGCTAAACCCATTTTTTGCATTGAATCAATGTGTCTACCCATGTCTCTCTCTGTCTCCAGCTACCAGAGGAAGTACCCTTACGATCATGTGGGCCGGACATTGTGCCAGCCTCCGGCCCGGGCCGCTTCTGAAACCCAGTTCTTTTTTGTGGATGTCTCCACCCTGTCCAGCCAGGGTACAAACTACCAGCTTAGGGTCAGCCGCATGGAAAGCTTCACCCTTCAGTGAGTGATATTTGATCAAATTACACAAACACACTCTGCAATAGCTGCTTTTAGTATCAGCTCAATGCTTCTGCCACCAGTTTGCGGTTTGAATGGATCAACAAGT